GTCTGAAAGGCTTCACAGGGTGCCTAAGGACCCGTTTAGGATTCAGGCCACATTTACGAGAATCTCCATAGACAGAAGCCGTATACACAGTATCTAATAAGTTAAGACCCACAAGCCCTAAGATTGCGCGCAACCAAGGCAGGCTGTCGTGGATATATTCTGGTATTTGTTCGAGTAATCCGTTGGGTTATCAATCAAAATGGCTTTGTGACCTTCAGTTTAATGTCCATCCTATCACGCAAACCTCGGATCATGCTTCACTTTGGTAACAGTCTTAACCCTTGCATCACCTTCCAGAGACTTCACGGCGTCGTCAACCACTCGAGTGCTAAAACGTGTCAGCTCTGTATAATAATAGAAAAGAACAAGAAGAGAGACATACATGAATGAATTTGGAACATTGTTTTCAAATTCATCCCCATTGATAATAAGTCCATGGCAGCCTTGCGTTATTGTGTCATGAAGACTATTAAGGTTCAAATCAGCTCTATATCCCCTATAGGATGTAAGTGTGGATAGGCTAGGATTTACTCTTCAAGGTCCGTTCCCTGGACACCTTCAAACACAGCAACCTATACCTAGTTAGCTGTGATATCCATCAGTGCGTGTAAGGGGTACATACGCGGTAGTAATGCAAGGGCAGGGACATTTTGGTGAGATCTATTTATCAAGTAAATGGGAAGTGAATGAGGGATGGGAGAAAACAGAAGAAGATCTGGTAGGGGAGAAGGAGGGGCATAAATAGTCGACCATCTGAATAGCTGCAGTGGTTTTCAGCTGAGATGCCGATCAACAATCAATTTTCAGCTCTTTGCTCAGCTGGGCCCCTCTTTTCAGCTATCCCACCATCTGGAAATATCATAATACCCAATCACTGAAGCGGGAGGTGGAGATCATGTCGATCTTCGGCAGATAGAACGATGCAAGATGATCTTCAATCCTTGGTACCTGTGGTATACAGGATGTATGGAGTAGAACGCGCCCGCTTTTATGTCTATATACTCCGTCGAACTAAATGAAATATCTACTATTTCATACTGGTATTTGGCGTGTTCCCACGTACTTTTTAGAAATGGAATATCACGTCCGTATATAGTGTGACAGACTTTCAATAATGATTATATTGGCGTTATCGTATACAGCTATACAGAATTCTAAGTGTGAGGGGAAGAAAGAAGGCGCGGTGGGGGCGCGAGGCCCGTGAGCCTCGCGACAAACAAAAACATGCAACCAACAGGAGTGTGCCTCAGGCCGTCACATATTGGCCCCTTGGCTCAACGCGCATTGGTATGTCTGGTAACTGCTGAATATCCGCCAATATCGAGGTGATATTGAGTGGAATACGATATCCACAAGGTGTGGAGAGGATATGCGGATATCTATAGATATTGAGGATGGTGCCCCAGGTTACTAGAGAATATTCAGCAGAATGCTATATCCATAATTTATGGAAGGATATATCAATATCTATAGATATTAATGCTATTTTCGCAGTCTAGGTATTGTATGTTTACTCGGCCCGAGTACCCTACAGGGCACCGCAGACTTCGGCAGAGCCTATTCAAACCCTAGCCCAACCCATCATGGGTTGGGTTTTGGGTCCAACGGTTGAACCCATGATGGAATCTGCCGAAGTCTAGGGCACCGGCATTCCGATAGGCCACCAAACCCCAAATATTCTCCGATGCCAATAGGTTATCAGTCACAAGTCCGACCCGTCTCAGAGGATATATTTTTAATTTTATATGGCTATCGAATCCTGACGCTTGAATAATAATAGTTAGAATAACACAGCAATAGCCCAAGATCATAAACCTTAATCCATACAATCCTAAGCCCCCGACCAAGAGCATTGACAGGTGTACGTTTCGGTCGGAACTGGGCTAGGCTGAGCGCCCAGACGTCCGTAGGAAACCTGATTGCGGCCGGTTTACTATTTCAGTAGTATATTACATATCAAGATCACAGGGGAATCTGGATGGTTGGTAAGGAATGGGAGTGTCATAAATCTCGTCCGTGCCAATGGAAGGACCGCCCTCGGCCGTTGCGATTTTGATCAGAATGGTTCGGTTTTGATCGCGCCGGTCTTTAATTAAGAAAACCAGGCACTTTGCTAAGCCCATGCTTCTGGAACTTTATACGGAGCACATGGCCAAAGCACATCTCGACTAAGGACCCCCTTCCAAGTTGCATTGACATCTCTAGCTAGTACGTTTCTGGGTAGCCTAGCGTGAGAGTTCAGGCGGCGTGAGGTTACAGGGTGAATGACCCAAGGCTCAGTGCAATTCTGATCCAATGTTAAACGCGCGACTACCTTCCATTTTCTCGTGCCCAACCACATAATGAGCCACGAATTTAATATTGCTGACGAAACTTTATATGGCTGTTAGTTCCAGCGATTATCGGCCAGTCAGAGCCCTGGTTTCACCGGAAGTGCCTGCCAAGACTGTGAACTTTATTAAGGAGAAAAATTTCCACGTCGTATAAATGTAGATAAGGATTTTCCTATCTGCGGCGAAGACCAGTAAGAAGCGTTCTGACTGGCGTAATCGTGGGATAACGCGTGGAAGCTCGTATTTATGGATCCTAGGGCATAATCTCGGAGCGTTATAGCTTACCATTGTCTCGGGCTGACCAGGCTCGGTATGAAATGTCTTACCTCACTCAAGCTAACCTTAGTTTGCGATTACAGACGCACTACTTTTACCCTGGCCTGGCATGTTCTCCGCGCTGGGGAAATAGCCTCATATGAAGGCAAAGTTCTGGGTCGCCAAATGTTGCCACATAGGGTACGAGGAGCGTTATTCTCGGCGCGGGAAGACGGACGCAGGCCGAGGTCCAACCTTAGAGAACTGGCCCCGGGCAAGACTTGCTTTTCGTGCCACTCCATGCTCGGTACATACGTTACACACAACCACAGCACCAAGGATAAAGTTGAGTATTATCCACCACTAAATCTTATTTTTGGGCGAGGCAATCCCTGTATCTTCCGAATGTCTTGTCAATCCTCCAACCCTTGCAAGCTCCACGTGTGCGCCACGGTACTATCCCCATTAAGCTTGGTAGATGGCTGGCCCGTGTCCACAGTGGATCCCGCTCAGTACTTCATAGTTGGTAGCCACACCTTTCAGTCCCAAGGAATGAAATCCCCTGGGGACCCGTAGTTGCCAACGCCTTCTTGTGATTTTCGCCGAGTCAGGTCCCTATGTGTCCATATATGAGCCAGGTCTCTCTCCCGTATTAATCATCACACCGATGGCTACTACGGGAATCGCTATTGTCCCTCTACATCCATCGGGCTGGGATGGCGTCAAATGTCAATAGCTGGGTGTGGTTGGCAGTCGTACTGCTGATCGGTAGGTTATTTTAGTGTTGGGCAAATCTGTGGATCTCTAACGGGCTCACTCTAGCATTACTACGCTATGTCTCCCGCTGGCTTCAACTGGGGACGCCCAAAAATTTCCAAATAGAAGACCTTGTGATGATCATCAACGTGGTATACCGGCAATATGCGTGCTTCCTGGAGTTGTTTAACCGACTAATCATGGCAGATTCTCTACATTTTATTGACGGTTTATCTGGTTGAGGTTGATAAGCACGGGACCAACGGGATTCCCTTAGACAAAGTCGACCAGATCGATCCCTCAACGATCCCGGATCGTATCAAGGGCAGTAAGCTAGTCCTTGTAGTAGAACAGCTCTGGCTAGGAGTCATCTGGGGATGCAAGGCATGCTTGCTCTTGCTATACTCGGCCATGACGTGAGTAAACAGACTCCTCTCAGCGATCAAAATCTAATCAATCGATAGGTTGGGCCTGTCGCAACATCTAATCGTCAAATTAATCGGCGCATTCTGTGTGCTGAGTTTCGTGGTAGTTGAAATCCTCTTTTTCGGAGTATGGTGTCACCCTTTCTCGGCCTACTGGTCGGTCCCACCAAAGAACGTACAGTGTTCCGTCTACCGCAACCACCTTATCCTAGTCCTGGCCCTAAATGTCGCTACGGACCTGATGATCATGTGCATCCCACTACCACTCTTGATCAAGGCCAAGCTGAGCCTGTCCAAGAAGCTCACGCTGTGCGCCGTTTTCTCGCTGGGGATATTCGTCATCCTCTGCTCTGTCCTCTCCAAGTACTATTCGATCTGGAATCCCTACGGAGACCGCTGGGTAGACTGGTACGTCCGAGAGGCAGCAACCGCCATCGTTGTGGCGAATATCCCTCAAACATGGACCCTGTTCCGCCGGATGTTCAACTGGAAATCCTTCCTGGCACACTCGTCCTATAACCGCAGCCACAGCCGAAGCAAGTACACCAACCGTCTTGATAGCTCGACTATGCATCTTTCGCGATTCAAGGGCGACAAGTCGCACACGCGCTCCGTCGACATCACGGCATCTGGCGAGCATATTAATTCGGAACAGCCGTTGGAAATCTGGGAGCATCGCCAGTTCCACGTCACGAACGAACCGGGGGAATCGAGTGATAGTGGCAGTCAAAGCAGTATCAGCTTGGAGTATGATACCACTGGGCTGAATCCCCAGGGGAAGGCGACCGTGACGACAACATCGTGATTAAATATCTGCGTGACGCGGTATGGGTAGCTGGGATGAAGCAACCACGAACTAAAGCCTATATAGACTTGTTTCTTTTGAGCCATTATTGCTTTTAGTGTGTCATTAGAGTCATACGTACATAGATAATTAGAGATGCTTCGATGATAGAGGCCACCCTAAGGGTTCGGAGACCACTCTGCTCATACCGATATCCCGGAACCCACCTGCCAAGCCTCTCCGGCATTAACTGACCAGGGTTCAATCCTTCCGTGCAGGATTCGTCACCCATGTTGCCTGCAGCTAGGCCATGCAGATTCCCAATGTCCGTGCGGGCAATAGTGGAGCCAATGCCCGAGTACAATACTTGTGATTTGAGGATCGCGTCTACGTAGTAAATTCTGCCTAGATAGTAAACCTTCACAGAATCATAGAGAACGAGCACGAATGTGGTCTTTAGGTAGGTGTTCGGCAAAGGGATGTTTTGTTTTTAAGTTACGTTGAATGCCTTGGACACCTAAGCTCAACCTCCGTGCTTCTGTATAACCAAAAATCAAGACATATCCAGGAAAATATCAGGATCCTGCAGCTCCACATCTGCCTGAAAGCTTATCTAGACGTATACCCTACACCTTCGAAGCGAAGCACTAGCTTCCTTCAGTATCTTTCTGATTTATATCTACTACCTTATTTCTTCCACCTTCTCATACTTCGCTTCACTCATAATAGTATCCCTTTATAGAGATAGACAGAACGTCACACGATGCCTGACCTGGTATTTAATCGGATCTCTCCGGTAAAGTAATTTTCATCACAGGGGGTAAGCTATCCCACGTCGACCACGTCATATTCCATCTAACAACATAGGAACGGCGGGTCTGGGTGCTCAGTCGGTCACTCAACTTGCCAAGCATTCTCCAGCGCGGATTTATATCAGCGGTCGGAACGCGACAAGCGCAAAGACAATTATCAATGAAATTGCCGAGTCTGGGTCGAATGCACCTGTCTCGTTTGTCGAATGCGACCTCGCCTCTCTAGATTCCGTTAAAAAGGCCGCGGAAGACATACTGGCAAAGGAATCACGACTCGATGTGCTCATGTGTAACGCAGGTATCATGGCCCTCCCGCCAGACCTAACAAAAGACGGCTACGAGGTGCAGTTTGGCAGCAACCATCTAGGCCACGCACTATTGATCCAAAAGCTGTTACCACTACTGCAACATACCGCCGAAACAGGTGCGGATGTACGTGTCATTATCCTCACATCTATAGGTTATCAGCTGCATCCTTCTGGTGGGATCGTTTTCGATGACTTGAAAACTACGCAGGATTACGGCGTCTTCGGATCCTGGAGACGGTACGGCCAGAGCAAGCTCGCTAATATTCTGTATGCTCGTGAATTAGCTCGTCGGTATCCGGACATTACCACCGTCTCTGTTCACCCTGGGGTGGTCACTACCGGGCTGGTTGAGAACTTGGGATGGGCACATCGCCGGTTTATCTATGCCACCACCTTTAATCAGATGGTGACACTGGAGGAGGGTGCGTATAACCAGTTGTTGGCCGCTACAACGTCCAAAGGTCGTTTGGAAACCGGTCAGTTTTATATGCCGGTGGGTGTTGCGTCGAATGGTAAGCTCACCAAGACCGGGCATGATGATGTATTGGCTAGTCGACTTTGGGGGTGGACAGATGAGGCGTTGGAAGAATACTATAATTAACTTGGAAACTTGTATTTATCTATAGTTTCTTGTCACTTTTATGTTTCTTCCTCCTTTTCTTTTACCTTTGTTCCTGGTTTTATTTTGTTTTCAAGGATTCATTTTTATTCACCCTATTGGTGAGTAGTGTGTATAATGTCGGGATATATATCTTCACTAGTCCAATAACAGCGTACACATCATTCCATGTTTTAAGCACAAGATCTGCTCGTGTCTGCAACGGTTATGCTAACATAAGACCGATATTATTATAATTATATAGATTACGATTACCATCATTTCCTTCATGGCTGATCTCAGGGTCGAGACTGGTCAGTGACGACGATCGACCGAATTGGACTAGACCTCTAGTCACGTGGAGCGCTATACCCGAAGTGACGTTAGTGACTCGTCCATTCAACAATCGAGATTCAAGAACGATCGCCGTATGCATTATACTCGCCGCAAAATTCCAGGTGACACACGTTATAAATTATTTGGCATAGATTCATCATTGCGCCTGCAGCTCTGAAATGCCTGACTTGAATCCTGCTCCGCGAGGTGGCAGGAATAGGAGTGCATGCGATCTATGTCGGCACAGAAAGGTACATTGACTCCCGGCGATATCCCGATAATAAGGCTTGGATTCGCGAATGACCTGTCAACATCTGATCCAGATTCGTTGTGATCGCGCCCAACCTTCTTGTGAGAACTGCTCCTTGGCGCGAGTGTCCTGTACCTTTACTGTGAAGCCAGCCGAGGCGCGTAAAAGCATCAGACAGTAAGACACATCCCGAAGCTCTCCGTTGAGTTCCAATGGCCTGAGCACATCACATCTAGGCGACTCTCTGAGACTCAGCGCCATGTACAAAATCTTGAAAACTTGATCACCAACAGTAACGCAGGCTCTTGTGGTCCAGCGAAAGCTTCGTCTACTCATAATAAATATTCCACACAATCTCATTTTCATGACACGGCTGGCTTTGATAATGCTCTGTCTACGTTTCAACAGCATCTCGAATACTCCTGGCCCGGAGGCGACCGGTCATCCCACAGGGCCAGCTTCTGCTCCGCAATCTTTCACTACACTGGTTCTCACTTTGATCTTGACGACTTCTTTCATCAGGTCGCGGAATCATACCGATCGCGATATGGCACAGAGGAAAAGAAGCAAGCGATCTCCCAGTGGCCCGACAAGCGTTTAGTCAAGAATTGTATTGAGTATTATGATCGCAAAGGACTTTACTCTGTCTTCCCCATAGTTGATATCCGCGTGATCCGTGAACTCCTAGACGCGGGTGTGCTAGACGACCCATCCAAAGCCAGTCCGGTAGCGAACAAAGCATGCCTAGTTGCATTCACGGCGCTCATCGCTCAGCTACATCGCCATAGTCCAATGTTCGCGCACGCTAAGCCAGATACATACGTGCGCGCGGTATTATCGTTGTTACCGGACTTGTTCATGGAGGAGGCAGACGTGAGAACGTTGGAAACGTTCATCATCTTGGTAAGTGGGTACGCGATGGAATGGTGCCCATTTCTCATTTATGCAGACAATATACATTCCCCCGACCGGGCAAAGTTACCCAGCCGAAATGATGCTTGCCGCAGCTGTACGTATCCTGTATAAGCTTGGTGGCCACCGACAACGCGATCCCAACCAGGATGACGGGAGCCACAACCATTACCATATACGCTCTCTGTTCTGGCTGAGTTATTGGATGGACAAAGAAATGTCATTACGCGCGTGCCGTGAACCGATGATAAACGACGCAAGCTGCGACTTGGAATTGCCGTCCACCTATGTCTCCCAATCCTCCACTTATCAATTCCTACAGGCCCCCCTGTCGTCCGACATACTATTATATCCTTCCGACCTCCGCCTTGCCCTGATTAAGTCGAAAATATATCGTCTGCTTCACTCGGACTCAAGCCGTACACAGCCCGAATCTACTAAAATGCAACGAATTCTTGAATTAGATCAAGAGCTGAGTGCCTTAGAGTCAAGCTTTCCTGCACATTGCCAGCCCCATGTTTTCGCAACCCCAGACTGCCCTTTGTACGCGTTCCATGATCTTAGCATGCGTGGGGTGACCCTGCACTTAGATTACTACTATTGCGTGAAAAGGATCCACGAGGCAAGTGCCGCCTGCAGCACACAGTACTCCTTCTCGTCGGGAATGGAGCTCTCATACCAGACGTCCCGATGCATGTTGCTCTACATTAACCAAGTACGGTCTTTTATCACTTGGCATAGTTTCTGGTTCGTACCAACCGTTTTCTGCGATCTATTCCTTCCGAAAAACTGACAATTGACCGTGTGCTAGGATATATGCTCAATGGTTACTATCGGCTGTAATATCGCTGTTTTATCACTGCATGTCGAACCCCACGTCTCCAACCTTCTCGGGAGATCTTGAAATCCTCGAAAATACGAGAGACATTTTCACTTCGCTTATGCGCAATACCGAAGGGGGGAACTGTATTGCGCCGTTCTACATTACCGAGGCTTTTGTTGACACTCTCATCCAATTCGCCAAGCAATCCTACATGAAAGCGACTGCCATATGAGCATTAACGTGTACACTACTTTTTCCGATACGTTGCAAACCTCCCTGGCTATAATATGACCCCAATAACCATGCGATGGATGCAGCGTGTATACCAGGAATACAGATACGATTTCCACCGCTGAACATTCCGTAGACAGCATCTTTGACACAAGGCAAGAAGGATCAAAAAGGACCTTCCGGCTGCTCTAAGAATGGGTCTAGATGCACTACTCAACCCCACGAGTCACACCACTGGTTGGGTACGTCACAGATGGAACAAATGCCGTTACTTTAAATTACCTTCGGTATTCATTGGCGGCATTAAGCCGACTGTAGCCTCATGATGTACGTCCTGCGGACCAGGAGGACCTCGAATTCCACCGCAGGTGCTCAAACTTGAGCTCTTGGCAAAGGCTCGGGTTGCAATTGACTTTATGAGTGGTCCTGAGCTCGTTGATTGGTCTTTAAAACAATATAGAGAGGTGTGAAGTGGTGGGCGATGGACGGACGGCTCCACAGTTGAAACGCTTAGTAGCAACAAGGAGAAGCTGGTACATGCGCCAAGAAACACCGGCATCTGTATCTGGACCCGCTTGCACGCTCCGAACCAATAACTGCATTGCCGCTGAATAAGCGGGCCGTTTTTGCGCCGAGACGTGAGCTGCCAAGCCCTGAGAAACCCAGCGTGCGTCGACGGAGTATAGAAGGGAAACTCGTTCCCATTGCCTATGAGCGGGGGAGAATTACTAACTGACTCAGTATAATCGGGTTCCTACATACCTGAAGAGCTTACTGTGACCATCCCTACCCAAAATGATGCTCTAAGGAGCATAAACCGTGAATAAAATCCTTGAACTATTGCTCATGCCTTGCTCTACTACACATGGACGTCATCACAAGCCAGTCATCACCTCGGATTGTATATTTACAACTTGTGCCCTGGTCTGAAAATTACTCAATTCCGAATTGATACTAGATGGACACTTTAATTTGTTCCTACCCCCTGCGACGTGGAAACTTGAATTGGAGCATACGGCAGCGAGTACTCCGGCAGACATAGATGCATAATATTCTGCACCCGAAAACATAGACAGTCTTGGCTGCAGATCTTCTGGCTCTCCAGATTCAATCCACTGCTCCGGCGGCCCCACTACACGGACCGTGAAGCCCAGTCACATTCGACCCATTCGTCATTCCAGGAGAAACTCACTTTGATAGGTTGCGAAATGTTGTTGAATCGTGATTGACACGCTGCGTTGCCATATTAAGAAGATCAAAATTCTTTCTGCCTATATCTCGAACATTCAAACCGGAACTTGCTGACGACGATTGTGACGAACGAGGACGGATTCATCTACCGGAAATAGACCTTGGTAGAACATGGAATTCCGTCCGCTACACGCTCCGCAAGTTAGACCATGATGATTGGGGTATATATTGGGTTGTTGTTGCCACTTACAGCATGATCCTCACTCAGACCTTTCTTTCAGAAACTCACCACCAGTGATATCTTCCTCTTCTTCCGTCAATATGCAGATTGTTTCTTTGAGCAAGTTGGCCATGCTCGGCCTAGCCGGCCTGGCAATTGCCCACCCCGGCGTCCACGAGCCCAGCTCAATGTCGCATTCCGCGAAGCGAAGCTCCTCAACAACGCAAAGCGTTCCCTCAGCCAATGCAGCAGCCACCTGGAGCGCCGTGGAATCAACGACCGGATCCAGGCACGCCGTGCGGCCGCGTACGAGATGTACCGCAAGCGCAGCATTGACACTCGCGACTACAATCCCTCCGTGA